TGACCCAACAATTCCACTATAAGGATTTATCAAAAGAATCACTAATTTGAAAGAATATATGCACCTTAGCTCTTCCTTTCTTTCAAGACAGCTCTTTCTTCCTTGAACCACTAATCGTCCTGCTTCTGTGTGTGTGTGGGGAGAGGGGGGCGGGGGAGGCATTCCTATATTTATCGAAGTGTTATTTATAATAGCCAAGATGTGGAAGGAACCCAAGTGCCCATCAATAGATGAATAGATAAAAAAGCTGTGGTACTTATATAATGGAATATTACTCAGACATTTTAAAAAATGATATTTGCAACAACATGATGGCCCTAAAAGGTATTATACCCAGTGGAATAAGTCAATTAGAGAAAAACAAATACCATATGATTTCACTTATATGTGTAATCTAAAGAATAAAATAGCCGAAGCCAGTTTGGCTCAGTGGTAGAGCGTCGGTCTGCGGACTGAAAGGTCCCAGGTTTGATTCCGGTCAAGAGCATGTACCTTGGTTGCGGGCACATCCCCAGTAGGGGGTGTGCAAGAGGCAGCTGGTCGATGTTTCTCTCTCATCAACGTTTCTAGCTCTCTACCTCTCTCCCTTTCTCTCTGTTAAAAAATCAATAAAATATATTTTTTTAAATAAAATAAAGAATAAAATAAATGAGCAAACAAAATTGAAACAGACTCATAGACACAGAGAGTGGACCCAGTACCCCCAAAAGTAAACTCCCCCTACCAGAGGGTAGGAGCCATTGAGGGACTGGGTGAAAGAGATGAAGGGATTAAGAAGTACAAATTGGTAATTATAAAATAGTCACAGGAATGTAAAGTACAACATATGGAAAAGAGTCAATAATACTGTAGTAAATATGTATGGTGCCAAGTAGGTACTGGAATAATCCAAGGGAACACTTTGTAAAGTATATAATTGTCTAGCCACACCTGAAACCAATACAAAATGGTATTGAAATTATACTGCAATTGAAAAATAATTTTTAAAAACCATCAAGTCTTCTTTGTTTTCCTCCTGGATAGCTCATGAATTAGATTCCTTTTCTCCATCTCCTTTGTCTTTACTCCAGCAGCAGCCAAGCCTAGAGCAACCAGGTCGGGAGCGGCAGTGGCCAGACCCGGAGCAACCAGGCCCGGAACAGCTCGCTCCTCGCCTGCCCCCGCCCCAAGGCTGCCTCTCAGACATGGCTGGAAACTTTTGTGGGAACTTGAGGGTCTGCTGAATCAAGTGATGAAGGCTTAGATCTGGATGTGTTGAGTTAGTATAGGGCTGGGGTGTTGATCTGTGAGTGCCTTCTGCAGGGCCTGGATGAGGTTGGTTGACCTATTTGGAAATGTCTTTTGTGTGAAGTCTATCTTTGGACATGTGGAGGTATTATTGATATGAGAAAATGCTAAGTAACTGATTTACTATCTGAAAAGGGATTTACTATCGGGGAAAGGGAGGGAGGAAGAGACTGAACATAAACTGTGCACCTATGGATGAGGACAATGGGGGAGGGAAAGGGGGCGGAGGGAGGGGTGGGAACCTGGTGGAGGGGGGAAGAAATGAGAAACCTTGTAATAATATGAACAATAAAGATTGATTTAAAATAAAATAAAATAAACTCAAAATTGATTAATTAAATGTAATATCAAAAACATCAAAATCCTTCTATCTACAGATTTCAGAATTCCTCTGCTGAATATTTTGGTACAGATTAATTATCAAGGGCCCTTTTTACTTTACTGTGGCCTTCCCAGAATTCATCAGAAGCACCTGGCCATTTTATCCTGTCAAGCCTTAAAACTGCTGGATTTTCTGCTTCGGGAATAAAACTGGCCTTTTTTTCCTTTCACCTTCCCCCTTCCTTTTCTGCATTCTCTCCTTAGAGAGGTTAACCATTTGCTCCTGTCTGGGGAAGATAATGGCTTGTTATTTATAAACTGGCTACAAATTTCCCACATTGTTTGACATTAACTTTCCTGTCTATTTCCCTATTCCACTTGCCCTGGAATTTTCTGAGCTCCTTACTGCTCTGTAACACAACCAACTTGATCCTCTGCTCTTTAAAAGCAGAGACTGTGTGACTCAGTTGCAATCCCAGCATCCAGCACAAAATGTTGCAAAAAGCTGAGGGTCAATAAATGTTTAAAGTGGCTTGTTTCAATGAATCCACGCCCTATTCTGTCCTGGCAGCCATTTCTCCAGATTCAGGTGAAGCAGAAGGTCCAGCTCAGACCTCAGTTATCTCTTCTCTTCTTTTTTTGCTCCCCCATTTGTCTCAGGAATTTTCTGGGCCTCACCCTTCAGAATTTCAACCGTATCCTGGGTCCTGACATTGGCCTGAGGATTCAGAGTTTCAATTAAAAAAAAAAATTTTTTTAATGGAAATGAGCTTCAATTGGAGGATTTCCTTGTTATTTCCCATGAAGATTACATGTGCCTTTATCTGCTTATTCAGTACACACCTAAATATCAGGAAAAGGACAAGATGCAGGGAGTCCAAAGAAAAATCCAATTCATTCCCTTTAGATGCTGTATGTCTGTATAGAAGCCTACTGTCTGTCTGGGTGAGGGAGGGGTATCAGTTGTTTAACAAAATAAAAAATAAAATAAAAAATTTTAATGACAACTTGTGACCAAGGATTCATTTCACTTTCACTCCAGCAGCTCCCAGTATCTGCTTCTAACTTTAAGGCGTGTTGCAGCACTAGTGATGAACCTTGCCTGCTAAAATACTCAGGAAGAGGCTTTTATAAGAACCCAGGATCCGCCGCCTGGAGCCAGGAGAGGTCGCTTCTCTTGCTGGAAAACTGCAGAGCTCAGTTGTGCGCTCAGACCTGCGCTACCTTGAGTCATTGAACCAAGCACAGCAGATCTCACATGTTGGTGAGTTTAACACAGGAAACCGGCAAAGGAACAGCATTAGGTGTCGTCACCCGGAAGGAACAGCTCCGCTCAGGACAGCCGCTGGTCAGCTGGAGCTGAAACGTGGGCCGTCCATGGCTCCTGGGACCGGGAACCAATGGGGCCTCCGCTAATACAGAGCCTGAGCGCCCGCATCCCGGAACCCCACCCTTCGGTTGGTCCTGGGACGGCCTCCTGGGCCCGTTTTCGGCTTTAAGGGGCTCCGGGCTGGTGGAACGGGACACAAACAGCCAGATAACAGAGTAAAAAACAGGCATGCCCAGACAGGTGCGCCGCGGCCCCGTCCCCTCCTCTGATTGGCTAGGGTTGTCGTGATCCCTGTCTGTGATTGGCTGCTTTCACAAAGATGCCGGGGGACGAATTCCGGCGCCGGGCCCCTCGCCCGCCGCTCATTGGCTCCAGCCCTGTGGGCGGGGCCAGAAGGCGGGCGCAGGGCCGAGGAGCCGGCGAGAGGCCGCGGAGCCGGCGGCGGCGGCGGCGGGGACCTGTGCCGGCGGGCGGTAAGTGCTGCGGGCCGGCCGCCTCGGACGTGGCGGACACTCGGCCGCGGGAACCTGGCATCTCCACTTTCCCGGTCGCCATGGGCGCTAGTGCGGTCTGAGGCGGGAGGTGGGCTGACAGCCGTGCCTCCTCGGAAGTCAGAGGTCCTGCCAAGTCTCCTCACTCCGCCGCTGTTCTGGGGCCCTGCCCCCAGCCCTGGGCCTAAGGTTGCCACCCCCGCCCCCCACCTCTGCTCGAACCCGGAAGATCGCCGCCTCCACTCACCCCTCACCCCACTCAGGCCTCCCCACCACCCCCCCCATGCAAGGCTTTTCCAAACTCTGCCCCCTCCCTTTAAAAGGTCTGTCCTGGCCGAAACCGGTTTGGCTCAGTGGATGGAGCGTCGGCCTGCGGAGTGAAGGGTCCCAGGTTCGATTCCGGTCAAGGGCATGAATCTTGGTTGCGGCCACATCCCCAGTGGGGGGTGTGCAGGAGGCAGCTGGTTGATGTTTCTCTCTCATCGATGTTTCTAGCTCTCTATCCCTCTCCCTTCCTCTCTGTAAAAAAAACAATAAAAAAAATTTTTTTTAAATAAAAATAAAAGGTCTTTCCTAAACTGACTCCCCGCCCTGCCAAAGGCAATTTCGAAGCAATTAAATGTTTAATAAAATTTTGTCCAAGTAATTTATGCAGAACAAAGGAAACAATGAAGCAGATTTTATATCCTAAGAGTAGTAGCTACCCACCTCCCAATCCTTTTTACAGAGACCACGCTTTTAACTTTTTTCATGCTGAAATCTTTTTAAGACCCTACTAAATCTAAATAATATACTTATTTACACCGCATTTCTTGATTTAATCATGTTGCTCTTTCTTTACCTCCCACCAGTTTTCCATTCTATTTTTAAATTTTTTTTTTTTTAGTTCTTCTGTTGATCTTTGTAGCTTTCAATCATAGATCTCAACCTGTGTTGTGGTAGCTCTTGGTGCCCTTCTGTCTTGCTGGGGCGTGCTTTCATCATATGGGTTTGGTTAACATCAGATGACCTTTGTTTTTATCTGCCAATTGAGCATGTAGGCAATGGGTTTCTGGCACAGCCTCTTTTTGCCCCTTGAAGTATATAAGTATACAGATAAACCTACCAGAGAGTGAGACTAGGGGTATTTCTGGCCTTAGTTTAGGTACTGAAACATCCCATCTTTGTGACCTTATCCAAGTTCCAGAGGAATAATGCTGATTTGAAGAGCATGATTGAGGTGGGTCTCACGACCCCAGAGGAGAGTCAGAGATGACTGAATGAATGAACAGTGAGAATTCCCAGCATTCACTTGCTCCAGCATCCCCCCGATGGCCCTCTGTGGTGTGAGTAATAGGGCCCGGTCAGAACTTCTGTTGGGAAGGCCAGGGTTTATTAAAGAGGGTCAGTAAAGGACGGAGGAAGGATTGAAAGGAGGAACTTGGTTTTTTCCCACACATGAATTATCCCACTTAGGGATCCCTTTGCCCTCTGTTACGTTTTCCTCTTACCTGTTTTTCTTTCCTTCTTCTCAGCCTTCAGTCCCTCCGCCTGGTTTTGTTCATGCTCCGAGGAGGGTGTGACAAGGAGCCATGGACCCGGCAGCGCTGGTGGAAGCCGTCGTGGAAGAGCTGGCCTGTCCCATCTGCATGGCCTACCTGAGGGAGCCCGTGAGCATCGACTGCGGCCACAGCTTCTGCCACAGCTGTCTCGCCGGACTCTGGGAGGTCCCAGGGGAATCCCAGAACTGGGGTTACACGTGTCCCCTCTGCCGGACTCCTGTCCAACCAGGGAACCTGAGGCCTAATTGGCAGCTGGCCAACGTGGTGGAAAAAGTGTGCCTGCTAGGCCTGCACCCAGGAATGGGGCTGAAGGGCGATGTGTGTGAGCTCCATGGAGAACAGCTAAAGATGTTCTGCAAAGAGGATGGCCTGGTCACATGTGAGACCTGCAGCCGGTCCCCTGAGCACGAGGCCCACAGCGTCGTGCCCATGGAGGATGTTGCCTGGGAGTACAAGGTGGGAGGCTGAGGCTAGCTACCCTAATCTCTCCCCCGCCTCTCACGTGGCTATATCTAAATTAGGAACTTGACCAGAGGCCCCAGAGATAAAATGAGAACTGATTCCTTTGCTCCTCATGTCCACAGAGCCTTGGGACCTGATACAGGGAGCCATGTCTCTCCTTGCATCTATGACCTCCTTTTGACTTCCTTCCCTCCCACTTCCGTGCCCCATCCCCAACCCCAAAATGGCTTAATGCCTAACCGGTAGATGCTTCCTTACCGAGAATTTGAAGGAGATGCAGTCTGGTTTAGCTGGAGCTCTTGGTGCCTTAAATGAATCTGGTATGGGGTAGTCAAGGCTACAGCTATCAGGAACTTCGAACCCCTAGCAATGCCACAAATAGCCATTTGACATTGTGTGAGTCACTCTAACCCCCTCATTTTATACACAAAACTGAGGCTTAGAAATTTGAGATCATGATAATTGGTTTTAAAGCTGGAAGAGACTATGGCTGAAACATTTAGGTTTTACTTTTCGTTAAGTTAGTTAAAGGAAGATCAAATGATATGATTCAGGTCTTGCTTTTGGGCCAGTATTCTTTCTCCTCTTTCAGGCCTTTTTTTGGGGGGAGGGGAGGAGGGTGTGCTGTGGAGGGCCTGTAGGGAGAATCCTCTCTGACACACCTGCTATTCCTTTTTTTTTTTTTTTTTTTAATCTACCCTCATCGACTTCCAGCTTCTTATACTTTCCTCAGTTGTCCATGTTGACATACCTTTACAGAATCATTATGCCAATAAATCTGATGCAATACTGGTCTTAATTTCCTTTCTGGAAGTTGAGATTAGAATGTAAGAGTGTAACACAAATCCCCAGAATTAGCTGTTTTTCTATGTGAGAAGAATTTCTATAAAATTAAAAGTATTTACTTGCTCATTTTGTTTTGAGTATTAGAATAGAGAGGTGGTATCACATAAGCATGTTAAGTGCCAGCTCAACCAGTTACTAGCTGAATAGCTTTGAGCATGTCTGTCTCTCTCTCTCTCTCTCAGCATCAGTTTTATTATCTGTACAATGGGGATAATACCAGTCTCAAGGTTGAGTACTGAAAGTTTAGTACTTAAGCGTATGTGTGGCATTGGTAACTTTTTAACAAAATGGTTAATATCATCATCAGAGTACTTTATGCTTTCCAGTAGTAATCTTTTGCATGAGTGTCCTAGGATAGTGCTTCTTACCTTTAATGAGCATTTGAACCACCCCAAATTCTTGCTAAAATTCTAATTCTAATTCAGGAGGTCTGGGGTGGGCCCGAGACTCTGCATTTCTAACAAGCTTCCAGGTGGTGCTGATGCTGTTGACCCTCTTAGTCCACACCTTGCATAGGAAGATTTTAGGAGGCCACAGGGTAATGTAGAAGACAAGGATAAAGATGCTGGATAGGAAGTCCAAGGAGCTTGGAAACAGACGTTTTCTTTCACTCCGCAGAAACTTAGAGACTGTGGGAATTGAAATGATTCTCAGAACGAGAGCTACCTTGGATGTCATATGGGCAGGATTCCATTCCCTCTTTGGCATCCTTTTGCTCCCAGCATTCATTCTGGCTCATCACCCAAGGGACGCTTTTCCCCCCATTACTTGGCAAGCCTCATTATCAACCCGGCTGAGGTTTTTCTCTCTTTCAGTGGAAACTCCACGAGGCTTTGGAACACCTGAGGAAAGAGCAAGAGGAGGCCTGGAAGCTGGAAGTTGGTGAGAGGAAACGAACTGCCACCTGGAAGGCAGGTTGCTGCCTGGGGAAGGAGTCTGGGTGGTTCCGGTGTTGTCCTGGAGCTGGCCATGGTGACTTAGTCATCTCTAGAAGCAGAATGTGGGGATTGAACTCAGAGCCAGGGATCCTCATGCCAGCTTCCTCCACAGGTTGTGCAGCCCTAGGCAGGCCACGTTCTTCTCACTCCAGTTTCTAGATTGTGATGTAGGGATAACCTCTGACATAGTGCCCTCATATGTCCTCATACACATCTCACGTACACTGGAAGATCGCCTCTGAAATAAATTTGAGGCTGTAACTACCAAACTATCAGAACTTTAGGTCAACAGAAGGTAACACTGAACCAGTCAAAAACAGCATATTGAACCGGGATAATACCAGTAGGAAGCAAAAGCATCTACCAGTGTAGTTGTTACCTGCCTTAGAGGCTCAAGTGTAATGCTTTGGTCATTATTTTGAAAGTAGCATATACTATTCTGAAAATAGGAAATAGTCTAGAGCACATAGTGCCTGGGCCCTACTGGAATGAATTAGGATCAGTAATAGGGCCCCAGAAGCATGTGAGAACAGAAGCAAGAAAAATAGTAGCCTTTAACTTGGCCTCTGCAGTGCCAGGCATACAGTTGGTACCAAAACATTCCAGAGTGTGTGTGTGTGTGTGTGTGTGTGTGTGTGTGTGTGTGTGTGTGTGTGTGTGTGTTTGTGTGTGTTTGTATGTGTATGCATGCATAGTCCCTGGTGGCCCTTGCACGAACAATATCAGTGCTTTTCTCCGATCCTGGCTGTGTAGATACAGGTGGAAACCCGAAAGCAGAGTATCGTGTGGGAGTTTGAGAAGTATCGGCAACTACTAAAGCACAAGCCGCCAGGTGAGCAGCTGGAGGCAGAGGCAGCCTCAGCTCTCGCCAGCCTGGAGCGGGAGGAGAGGGACACGAGGCAGAAACTGGAGCTGAGTCACGACACGCTCATCCAGCAGAGTCGGGTTCTGTGCCGGCTGATCGCAGAGCTGGAAGAGAGGTCTCAGAGGCCTGTCCGCTGGATGCTGCAGGTGAGTGCACCCGTATCCACCCCCCATCCCTGCACTTCTCCTGCCTCTGGTTGGTTGGATGCCCTGGCCCATTGTAGGCAGGTAGGCGGGGCGGTGTTCAGGCAGCTCTGCACTCCTGCTCCTTTGGCCAGATTGTTGAATCAGCCAGTCTGGCTCAGCCTATCCTCCCCTCCCATAGGCTTCTCCCATCCACCTTGGCACACCTCTCCAGCCTGACTGCGCCTCCCTTACCCTTAGAGCAGTGTTTCCCAAACTTTTGACATATGTGTACCCCTTCTATAATTTTCGTAATGCTGAGTACCCCTTGTCAAAAAAAAAAAAAAAAAAAAAAAAAAAAAAAAAAAAAGATGGATATATTAGGCGCAGCTAAGCACAGTGCAATACATATCCCCACCAAATTCCGGTGCAACGCGTACTCCCACCAAACTCTTCCCGTACCCCTGGGGGTACATGTACCACACTTTGGGAAACACTGCCTTTGAGAAACCCCCTCCCAGCGCTTAATGTCTGTCTGGTCCCTCCAAGGAACAGTAGATACTCATGTGCTGCATTTCTTTTTTTCTCCTTTTAGGGCATTCGGGAGGTCTTAAACAGGTACGTTCCCATCCCTGGAGCCCCAGGAGGGGCCTGGCCAGAAGAGGGGAAGGAACAGAGACGCATGTGGCAGAGAACCGGGGGCTGCTCCATAATCTTCTCCCTCTTCCCTTGCATTGGCCAAAGGAGCTTTATTCACCTTTCTTCTTTGTATTTGATCAGATTCGTTTCAAGTGTTACCAATAAGAATCTCAGAAAAGTTATAAAATATGTGGTTTCAAATAGATCTCTCAGGGAGGGAAAAACACTACAGACGTGTCCATTAGTCTCTAAGCTCTGAGTGGGGCACACCTGTTCTCTCCCCGTGTCAGGCGAATGTTCTGTCTGTGCCACAGACCTTCCTCTCAGTCGAAAACGCATCACAGCCTTGCCTGGTGATGCTGGGGAATGGCGCCTCCCTGCCAAGCCCCTCTTCCCTGTACTAAGGGAGGGCCCATATGGCTGAGCTAAGACTCCTTGACCCAGGGCTTACCCCTCCTCTATTAGGAGCAAGTCTTGGAGCTTCCAGCGGCCAGAACCAGTCTCCCTGGAACTGAAGACAGATTGCCGGGTGCCGGGCCTGAGAGCGATCCTGAAGACGTATGCAGGTAATGGGTGCTGGGGGAGGTTGTGATCGGCAGTGGGAGGGGCCCCACCCAGAAAAATAAGACCGCTCAGTGTCTTCTGAATATCCCAACCGGCCCCACTCCCACCCGTCACTGAGAAATCCTGGGCTGTATTTATCAGGGAGACCTCTCCTAGGGCCCCTCGCTCTGTACCAGCATTGCCAACCGGGATCTCTGTCCCTAGCTGATGTGCGCCTGGATCCCGACACTGCTTATTCCCGCCTCATCGTGTCTGAAGACAGAAAGTGCGTGCGCTATGGAGACACCAACCAGAAACTGCCCGACAATCCCGAGAGATTCTACCGCTATAACATCGTCCTGGGCAGCCAGTGCCTCTCCTCAGGCCGGCACTACTGGGAGGTGGAGGTGGGAGACAGGTCCGAATGGGGCCTGGGAGTGTGTAAGGAAGATGTCGACCGGAAGGAGGTGGTCTATTTATCCCCCAACTATGGCTTCTGGGTGATAAGGCTGAGGAAGGGCAGTGAGTACCGGGCAGGCACTGATGAATACCCCCTCCTGCCCTTGCCAGTCCCTCCCCGGCGGGTGGGTGTCTTCCTGGATTATGAGGCCCAGGACATCTCCTTCTACAACGTGACCGACAACGGCTCCCACATTTTCACTTTCCCCCACCACCCCTTTCCCGGGCGCCTCTTGCCCTACTTTAGTCCTTGCTACAGCATCGGTGCCAACAACACCGCCCCTCTGGCCATCTGCTCCCTGGACGGAGAGGACTGAGACCCACCATCCAGCCAGACGCCTCGGAATTTCACCTGGGCCCCGGGGGTCTCGCAGGGCCCCGTCCCTGATAAGGGTTCCCTTAAACTGAGTTGAGCGTAGAATTTGGGATTCCTCTGCCTTGCCCAATGGTCTGCTGCTCCTCAGCCCACATCTCTCACTAAACCTCTCATGTGAAGGAGGTGAGGCTTAGTCACATGGGCATTGTCCCTGTGAGAAGCATGACAGGGCTGATGGTGAAGGTCCCAGTGACTCACAAGGAGGACTTGTCCTTTCTGTAGCTCAGGCCCCTCTTTTTCAGTCCCTGTTGGTGCCATAACTAAGTCACGAAGGACGATGAAGTAGATCCAACCTTCTGGAAACCTGTTGGCAAAAAAATCCAGCTCACGTCCAGAGCTGGCTGTTCCATGGAGGCCAGCTGGAGGAGGCCTCCCCTGAGGTTTGCTGCCGATGAGCAAGTGTTTGAGCCCTGCTCTCTGACCTGCAAACTAGAGTCGTTCATTGCAGATTGCCCAGACCACTCCAGTGGCCATCCCCTTCCGCGCAAGCTGGGCACACCACTGTCTCAAGCTCCAAGGAGGCCTCTGTCTCCTTCTTGCTAGAAAAATCAGAGAACCTGTGAGCCTTGTTTTTAGTTTCACTTTATGGATGAGAAAACTGAAACGGCCTTAATAGAGCAAGTTATTTCTCGCAGAGCTATTGAAAAGAAGATTGTAGAGATTATAACTTATTTCTCACATTCGAACGAAACAAGATTGGCAAGACTCACTTCTCAGGTCACATGTCTGCGTGTCATTCATTACCTTTGGGTCTGAGACTTCCAACCCAATTGAAAGGTTTTTTGGCCTCTGGAAAAATGGGTGGAGTGACTGAATACTCTCCTACCTCACAGGGTTGTTGTGAGGATCTCGGATCCATCCCATACTTGTGTTCCTTTCTCAGGGACAGAGGAAGGCAAGTTGAGAATATTGCCCATCTTACCTTCCTATCTCACATTCTCAGCCAGCATCTTACAGCAGGGCCTCTGTCTCGGGGCCCCTCCTCACAGTCTAGAGCTCTTTAGACAGAAGGTGGCCCTCCCAGGGCAAACTCTGGGCTACTGTAATATTCTGTGTATCTGTTGTACATTTATCTCTTGTTTGGATTAGAATTGGGATTGTGACCACAGGATAGAGATGTGATAATTTAAAATGAAAAACAAAATGCCCAGGAAAAAGACTCACTCACCCATAAGCTAGTTGAGCTAAAGTTTAGATCTTTTTGTGTCACAAAGGGAGTCTGAATCGTTCTGGTAACTATGTAACATTCTCCCTGCCTTTGTCTAATCTAAATCTGTGGCAGAAGGAGAAATGGGAGGCAGTGTGAGGGAAAGGGTAGGACTAGGCACAGAAGCCAGTTTGGGAGCTGTATCTATAGTGAAGGGGAACTTAAGACTGTATCTGTGCTATTGGCCTATGAGTGATTGCTGTGTGTAGCAAAAATAACTCACTGAAGGCCTTAGGAGTGTGATGTGGGACGGTTGTGTCTAGAAATGAACTGCAAGACTAGCCTGAAGAGTTCATGGCTTTGCCTGTTGCGAGAGGCTACAACATACACATCACTAATCATCACCACGACTAAAGACACAACTTCTGATGTACTTTAGATGTGAAGGTAATAATGTTGGGAAAGGAATGAACAGCAAAGAAGATAGTAGATGATGTATGGACAGAGGTAAAGTAATTCTGTAATAAGTAATAACAAAAACTGCCTTTCTACTTGGTTAGTAAATAAAAGAGGTAAAAAAGGCCAAAATGGAGAAATAAACTCATTCTGCCCACCAGGCTTCCAAGTCACTTCTTAAGCATTAACAGAAGGGGAATGGACTAGTGCGGGACTCACAGAGCTGGTCTTGGCAAAGCGCTGAGCTGACCTACAGTAGAGGGGCTGTGTGTTTTTGTGGGGAGGACTCTAGAGTGGCCCAGAGGGGGAAGAGGCAGGTAGGCAAGTAGCCATGTGGAGGGTAGAGTACCTGGGAATTGTTTATGGACTTGAGAAATAGATCTGTAGGAAGTGCTTCCCATTAGATGTCCATAGACACTTAGCAAAAGAGGCTAGGGAAAAGTCAGTATTGTTCTTCTACTATTGTTTTATTAGGACCATCCTTAGAAGGTTCAGAGAAAAGTTGATAAATTCATTCAAACCTAGAATGAACTAAGGAGTGGGATGGCTTAATTTGTTAAGTATTCTTTGGGGGCTTTTGGGTTTTGGTTTTGGTTTTGTTTGTGTATGTGTGTGTTTTTTGTTTTTTTGGGTTTTTTTTACTTATTAGATCATTTTGGAGCTATGATTGTTTGTTAGAAGAATTACAGGTTAAATGATGTCACATTATTTCATATTTTCTGATTGTTAAGACCAGGCAATGAGATTGGAGTTTTTAAGCATATGAAAAACCCTTTTCTTTAGGGTATTTATGTGCACTTCTAAGAACCCCATGAAGAAAGGATAAGACCTTATTTGTCTGGTTCACCATTGTACCCTCAGTCTAGCAGTGTGTGTGTGTGTGTGTGTGTGTGTGTGTGTGTGTGTGTGTGTGTGTGAGAGAGAGAGAGAGAGAGAGAGAGAGAGAGAGAGAGAGAGAGAGAGAGAATAAACAAATGAGGGAACTTTCAATCTTATTCATAGAATCAAAGCAAAAAATAAGCTCCCCTTGCCTCAAAGGGGCATGAAAGACTAGATAATATTTAGTTCTAATCTTATTCAAAAACTAATTTGATGAATAATTATAAAAGTGTTCTGGAAGGGGAAGAGGCACATAGCTATGAGAAGGGTAAAGTGCCTGCATATTCCCTGAAAATGATTACCCTGGCACCTCCAATTTGATGTGATAATTCACCACAAGGCAGGGTTCAGGCATGAGATTTGCCTATTTTTGTTTTACTGACAGAAACCAAGGGGTGTAGTGCCTGAGCCTTGAGGGAGAGGCTACTAAAAGGGTGAAGTGCTTGAGTTCTGCAAAAGGAAGAGACAGAGGGCAAATAGGTGGGTTTACAACCCACAGGAAATATAGTCTACCTTTTTTCAAGCAGGATTGGTTGTAATGTCTTAAAAGCAAACATTGAGAGTGCTGTGAATTATAGGCACTAGTTAAATGAGCACATGCTGCTTCATGTGATAGGATAGGAGTTGTATCTGAATGTATTGGGGAAAGCACAAGATTTTCTGTTTGGGGAATAGCCAAGGGAGGGAACCAGTCCACTTTGTAAAGTATTCAGTTCAGTAAAGATTTGAGGCCCAACAGTGGATCCCAATTTCAGGGAATACTAACGTGAATGAAACAGCTGCAGGGTAGGTTTCTAATGGAAATGCTGGAAAGACATTTCTGGTTTGGGGGCAAGCTAGACTGTGCCTTTGTTGCTTTTCATCAGATACTAGTCAATTATTTGGTTCGCTTATGAAGAAAGAATAGTGTGACTTTTCAAAATAGAAATCAAATATACTGAACCACCTCATCTTGATTTGTTTTTATAAATGGGTTTGCAAGAGGAGGAAGATTTCTTTTTACTACTCTGGGAGCTCAATGCATTATCAGATTTTTAGAGGCTGATTTCTGCTCAACTGGTATTCAGAAACGGAATATATCCTAGTAGACAGACAAGTCTGATGTTAGCAAAAGGTATGAATATTAGCATGTCTGTTTGGAAGAATTATTACATAAATGATAATTAGAAGACTGCAGTTCTAATAATACCTCAAATTATTGAATTATAAATCTATTGTGTACCCCTGGCCACTGGGTCAGTTGGTTAGAGCAGTGGTCAGCAAACTCATTAGACAACAGAGCCAAATATCAACAGTACAATGGTTGAAATTTCTTTTGAGAGCCGAAAACCGACTTCTGCCCATGAGCCATGAAGTTTCAATTGCACCGTATGTGTGTGCCCACATATGATATTTTGTGGAAGAGCCACACTCAAGGTGTCAAAGAGCCCAAAGAGCCCCATGTGGCTCGCAAGCTGCAGTTTGCCGGCCACTGTAAGAGCATCATCCAATACACCAAGATTGTAGGTTCCATCCCTAGTTAGGATACATAAAAGATAAAACATACAAGAAAAAAACAAGGAATGCATAAACAAATGGAACAACAAAACAATGTTTCTCCCGCCCTCTGTCTCTAAATTCAAATAATTTTTTAAAAGAGATATATTGGGCATATATTTTAAGTATGTACAACATGTTAATCTTATGTGCTATCCTTTATTTTAATAACCCTCTATAAATTATCATTGGTTCTTCCATCAATAGAAAGGAGATATTAATATTCAGATATAATTGTTATCAGCTGTATTAGGAAATTCTTTTATTAAGATTTTCAATTCTATCAGAGTTAAATATATGTACTTCTACATATGAAACCTTTAAAAAAAAAAAAAAGCTTATACTGCCGAAGCCGGTTTGGCTCAGTGGCTCAGAGCGTCGGTCTGCGGACTGAAAGGTCCCGGGTTCGATTCCGGTCAAGGGCATGTACCTTGGTTGCCAGCACATCCCCAGTAGGGGGTGTGTAAGAGGCAGCTGGTCGATGTTTCTCTCTCATCGATGTTTCTGGCTCTTTATCTCTCTCCCTTCCTCTCTGTAAAAAATCAATAAAATATATTTAAAAAAATAAGTAAATGAAAAAGCTTATACTGATTATTCTCTTTAAGATGTTTTGAAAAGGTAAAATATAAAAACAAGTATCTGGTGAGCTGGAGAAGAGTAGTGACATTTTTCATTATTGATATTGCTATTGTTTTCTATTAACCTTTTCATCCCTGAGCACACCTCCTGAGAGGTGTTCAAAAGAAGAAAGACCTTTTATATTTGATTCCTCTCCTCTGTGTCTATAGTTAAGTTACACAAGCAGGACTAGGAAGAAAAGTGAAAGATGTCCAAAAGTGAACTCACGTTGCCTTGGCCTCTGTTGCTTAAAAATAAAAAGCTTGCCAAAACCGGTTTGGCTCAGTGGATAGAGCGTCGGCTTG